AAGTCGACCACCATAACACCACCAACGAGACTACACAACTACTTCCAAGTGATGTTGTGGCACCGCTGTATAAGTGACCTGATCACTCTCTACAATCGCATCCAGAGCCGACACGTGGAGGCATTCCAAATGCATGGGCAACAGGTCAACACAATGACTGGTTGCGACGAACAATCGGTCAAGGCTGTCTGCTGTCAGGATCCGCCATTGCGAGAGAAGGAACCGTCGTCATCACCTACACGGCCACGTACGCCCGAACCGTATCCCTTCTGCTGCAAGGCTCATTCGTTGGTCTTTACCACTCAGTATCCACTCAGCTTCGTGCCGTACTCGCTCCGCGTCCAGTTCCGTCGCATGGTACACAAAGTCCAGTCGGTCTCACAGAAGAAGATTTGGAGCAGTGTGTCGGGGTGGCGCGAACAACTCGGGTTGGCAGGTCGAACCATCCAGTACACTGGATCGACAGAAAAGTTGCAATTCTGTACTGGCACTGCATACCCCCCATCACCTCCATCTGCGGCAGCGAGTGAGGGACAGCTTATGGCGGAGGAGGAGGCACTTGTTCAAAGAAGGTACCGGATCGAAGAGCAGGCACGGCAGGACAATCTTGACAAGCAGGAGCTCTTGGCACTCTGCCATATGGCTTGCGGCCTCTTCCTGGCGGATGACCGGCTGCAGAGCCCGCCTCCCACGATCATATCACTCTTGCGGCAAGGAAGTCCATGGAACAAGGGTGTTTGGTGCGAAGGTGAATGGCAGCATGCATCGATTGATGTTCGGCAACCTGGGCAGGCGTCTCTAAACGGGTCGTCGCAAAGTGCCGCCAACAGTAGCAGCGTTACAGAAGGCGACAAATCGATCGAGTCGGGTCAGGCAAACGACAATGGCAATGACATGGGCCGATGGCAAAGCATTTGCATCGCAGCAATCCAGTTCCTGGCGCACGAGGACTTGGCCTGGGGCGGTAACCGTACGAATGCAGAACTGAGTCGTCTGCGTGCCGCCAACAATCCGAGCGCATGGACCTATCACGAATAGGCTGTGTGTTCTTATAAGAGGATCCCAATAAAATAAAAACCACCCATTGTAAATAGCTCATTCCTTGTGCTTACCCGCTTTCTTGGGCCTTCCCCCCAGATCAATCCTACCCAAGCTTCACCTCACAACTGCAGCTACAACTACCATGCATATCCAAAAGGCCTTGATTTGAATGAGCCCTCGGAGAAAAAGGAGCTCGACCAGCGGAGCAGGACTCTTGCCCATCCTTGGCCTACAGCCCATCACAAGAACCGCGCTTGAATCCCTCTGCAATTTGACAGGCTCGTTACTGATGATCAGTTTCTGTATTCTCCTCCATATGCCCTGCGCATTATATACATCACATTTGTCTCTTAGAGTGCCCCCCTCAATCACTGCGGTGCAGAGGCGACGTCAGAGTGTGTGAGGAGATAGATAGATAGAGAGAGAAAAAACTTAAAGCCGACGGAGGAGCGTATGGCCGCAGATATTCTGCTTTTTTTGGGGATAAAGAGCTTGCACCATGACAAAAAGCAGGACGTGTAATCCCATGAAATGCCTTTGACCCATACCTGCATTCCTCTTTTTCTTTGCTTCTCTCCAAACTTCTCCCTCCTCCGTTTCTCTTTGTTGCTTACATATCATACATTTCCCCAATTTCGCAACCTGGACGCACATTCAAATCGCCTCTTATCGCCAGTAAAACATGTAAAGCCCTTTCCAGTCCACATCTGATATTATCACCGCAGCCATCACCCGTTCCTGGTGTGAAAAAAAAGAGAGAGGATCTTTCCGCTTACATACCTCAACAGAGTTGTTAAACGCATAGCACGTAAAAGTTTTATTTTCTTACGCTCATATGCTTCCCCTTCTTTTGTTCGTGTCCTGCTTAGTCCGTTGCAGATCGCCATAGGACAACCCTCGGCCTCGGAGAAAGACCGCTCTTCTCCAACTTTTACACCGTCTTCCCAACCGGACCCACCACACATTCAGCGTGGGCCCACAGCAGTAATGGATGACTGTCGAGGATCTTCCGAGGTGGACATTGTTTATCAGGACGATATAGATGATATGCAGGGTAATTCAAATTTCGATACTGAGCAGCTGCAGGGTCCAAGCGAACCTTGTCATGTCACACAGCACATGAGTGACGCAGCACGCGTCACACCGCACAGCGAATCTCACGGCGTCACTCTGCCGAGCGATCCACGCCCACGGACAGATGGCATCCTTGGCGTGGCTAGAGATGAGAAGAGAATACAGGAGTCCCCGGATCTGGAGGGACATGACAGGAAGTATCGCTGCGTAGGATCGCATTCGGCCTCGCCCGTTCCTGATCCATCGAGTTCGTTGATCTCCTTCGGATTCGTGTCGACTCTAGACTTTGCCCCGAAGGCGGATGACTGCGATGTGTCCGGTGCTTTTTATCAGGGTCCATGCGTGTTCGAAACAACGCCGTCAACCGAAAGAGCAGATGAAAGAGAATCGCATTCACGTCAGCCAAGCCATGAAGACGACAATAGAGGGGCCCACCCGAATGAAGGGTTGCAGACAACTTTAAACATACCAGAGTTGCCTTTTCGGCCTTTGACCAATCCTGCCCCGGACGCCACGAAAGATTCAACAAGAAACGCCACGTCCAAGGCTGTAATCACACCGCAGCCTGGGTCCAGTCAATCTCTGTCGCCGCTTAGACTAGAGGGAAGCCCCCAAGACCAACCTTCAAGCCCTCAACAAGGACTTTCGCACGAATTGGGAGCGATTCAAGGTTTTGGCGCATTTCAAATGGACTCTATGGGCGCTTCCGAGGACGATCCAGCAGCGATACCTTTGCATACGACTTGGATCAAGAATAGTGCTACTCAGCCGATGACGCAGTTTCGGCCAATGCCATCTCCACACTTCAAGCAGGAAGAATACCTAGCAGGGATGCAGCACCAATCGCGGGAGCCATCCCCTACTCAAGGTCAATCAAGTGGTACTCAGTTCCCGCTGTCGCGGTCCAAAGATTTGACAGTATTTCCGTTTGGCAGTTCATTTACGGACCATATTCAAGACGAGTCGTCCTTTGGAGAGCATCCCTCCTCAGCCCACTACATGGAGACTGTCTTTGGCTCCGAAATGGCGGCATCTGCGTCTTCGAGCTTTCAACCCGACCACGGCATCTCGTTCTCAGGGGGCCCTGTATATGGTCAGTTCGGCCGAGGCTATAGTCTGTATGAGGGCTCGGCACCCAACGCCCATTTGTCCTTTTCCAGTCCTTCGGCGGTCATTGGCCAGTCTCCTTTGCCCAACCTGACCGCAATCACTGGGTTACCTACCAGTACCGCACAGATCGAGCGTGCCAGTTCTTCTGTGCAGACCTTCAGGCGGCATGATCTCCACCTGCATGACCCGGACCCCAAGTACTGCGATAATTGTCATACTACGACTACGCCCAGCTGGCGACGGTGTCCACAAGGTCGTATTCTGCTATGCAACGCCTGTGGGTTGTATCAAAAGCTCCACGGTCGATCAAGGCCCTTTTTCAAGACAAAGGATGGGACGGTCAAGATTCATCGCACTGTGCAGGAACACGCGCCATGTGCTCGATGCGGCACTCGCACGACGTCTATCTGGAGGAAAAGCAATAATAACGAGATCATCTGTAATACCTGCTGCATTGCCATTAAGCAGCAACGGACAGTCGCAAGAGAAGCAGGGCCTTCGAACGTAGGGTCTATCTTGACAGCAGCTCCGGGTCTAGCGGACATAGGGCCTAATGAGACACAGGAATCGGTGTCCAAGCCAAATAGGACGGGAAGCGGCCCAGCAAGTCCTTCCTCTGTCCGTGCAACAGGTCGTCCTCCAAGATCTCGTAGCGGGAAGGGTAGAAACAGCAGCGGCTCTGGTCACTCTTTTTTGGCCGCCATAAGTGCGCGGTCTCGAAGTCTATCATACGCATCTGGATCCGGAGATATGATGCTTTCCACAGGCGCTTCGGTGCCTTACGATTTCGGAACCGGTCATCCGATATCGTATATGCTTCCGTTGGGCCATGGTCAGTCCACCGGTCCTGGGTCCTCTTCCTCTTCTTCACTAGACTTGGGGATCGATTGGGCTTACCCTAACGCGACCAATTCGGCCACCAACGCGACCAATTCGGCCACCAACGCGTTACATCCGCCGGTTCCGCTGGATTTCAGGCACTATCCGATCCCGGAGCACACGACAGCGCAGCTTTCGCAGCAGCAGCAGCCCCATAATTGGACGCATGAGGTGAATGCATCAGTTCCGCTACCACCATCGCCACCACCACCGTCAATAGCCCATCATTTCCAAACCTCTCAGCCGCTGCATCCGCAGCACCAGTGTCCCACCACAGGCTCGCATCTACAGCCAGTTCCGATACCGATAGACCTAGCCTCGCTCCAGTACGCGCAGCAGCAGCAGCAGCAGCAGCAGCAGCCGCTGCCCTTGTCTGTGCCTTTGCCTCTGCTCTCGCACCGGTCCTTTTCTCATCAGGGCTACCAGCATCGGACCCAACACCAGCAGTACTACCGAGCATGGCAACCATATCAGCAGTACCGTCATGGCCACGCGGGATCCTATACACATCTACAGCAAAGCAAAGGGGAGGGAAAGGAGCATGGGCATATACAGCAAGGGCAGGGCTACAGTCCGTACCAAGAGTTCAACGAGGACGACGGCTATCAGGCTAGATATCAAGGTTCGTTCATGGCTTCAGAACCATCACCGCCACCACCACCACCACCACCACCTCCTCCTCCGATGGTTTCACAACCATGCGATGATCAAGACCATGATCAAACAGGCCAGATCTACGAAGGAGGCCACGGTTCTGTCGAGGATGTCAAGACTGCCCGCGATCCAGATATCGTCTACAAGGGTCACGGATCACCCTTTGCGCGATCTTCGACTCCATCGCTACTCTCCTTCACACTCCCATCCGAGGATCCCACAGAAACCTTGCTGCGCGACTCGCCATCCCAGTCGTCCTTGGATCCTGGCGGTACCAGTATCGGTATCGGTATCGGTATCAATATCATTCACCATCAGCGACACTACCGCCCTGAAGAAGGAAACCCTACAGAGGACGAATTCCCTGACCCTCACACGTCCTCATCAGCCCCGGATGCTTCGGTCAAGAGAGAAGAAGGCGAAGAGGAAGGAGCTGAGCCTAGAAATGCGACAGGTGGGACCCTACTCTATACGACCTTGAGCTTGCAGACGACGGCGTCAACGCACGACGATGGTCCTTATGGGGGTGATGAACCTTATCGAGAAGCGTCTACGAACGATACGATTGGCCAGGCCAACATGATAACCGTGGAGAATCCCGACGTAGAGGCGCAAGGGGATGATATCCAAGGAGGGGGACAGCAGGCGACCCAGGGTGCGGTCGACAGAGGGTCGCAGAAGCCGCTGGAGCTGAAGACTGAGCCTTCTGATGACGCGTATTGTTTCAACAGGATTTCAGATGGTGCATCGGTGACGCATGGGCGCGGTGGGCATGATACGGGAAGCACTACTGTTGAGGCGAATCAAGGGCGGGCCCTTCGAAGGAGTGAGCGACAACGCAGGATCCAGGTGACGATGACCACGTCCCGATCGAAGTGAGACATCATTTGGGGAAAAAGATAAAAGCAGAGAGCATGGCTTTTTTTTTTTTTTTTTTTTTTTTTTTGCCGCGTGAGGAAACAAGAGAAAAAGAATTCTCAATAAAATCAAAATGCAGAAAGTCCACTGATGGGAGGGAACTGAATGCACCGAATGATGTAGCATAGTTGAGATTTATGTAAAAGGACACAGTGTCTAGGATCTGAAAAGCTTAGGGGCTTTCTGCGTTAATCTCATGGTAATGGCTATTTATTTTTACTTTTAGTTCTGGTCTAAATCCTGTCTGCTCGCTGGTATCTGATTTGTGTGAGAGTTGTGGTTATTGTAAAATAGGGCCAGAATAAGAAGGAGCTGGAATCCTCCTTGAGTTTAGTTCCTGCCGAGGATGTGGTACATCAGCTTGGTAACGAACGGCGAAAGGACCTGTTCCTCTTGTTGGTAGAAGGACTAGTAGCAACACGTTGAGAATAATGAAATGAGGTGTTAGCATTTGTCATGGTTATCTTTCCTCGCATCCTTTAGTTCTCAGAATAAGAAAGCGCATCTCACCATGATCAAAGACATGGCAAAGGAGAACATCATGACCTCCCAATGCTTGACGCCCTTGACCCAGTTCTTCTGGTACAGAATCTTGTAAAGACTCTCCGCTGCCTTGGGAAGCACATACATCGCCAATTCCGCACGGCGACTCTCTTGCTCAACCATAATGGCGCTTCCAGAGCAGGTCACGCCAAAGAGCCAGTACATGTACTTGTTGTTGCTATTCATCCATCCGCGCTTCATCAAGTTACGGTGTGCGCAGATCTGGGACTGGTATACGACCACGAAGACAGCCAAAAACACAGACGATCGCAGCGTATTAAAGGACGTCCTCGAGATCACATTCATTGGACTATGCACAAACATACAGTAGTAACAAAGGGATATAAATACAGCTGTTTCAAAATAAAACATCTTTCCATCGTGAGGTGACCTGGCTATACGAAAGCGATCAATGCAAGACTTACTCGGCCATGAGTCTCTTCATCCTGAGGACCAAGAGCGGCACAAAGTTGAGTGTCGCATAGACTGGGAGAATATTTTTTGTGACCTGTACAAAGCGCTCTGCATTGTTAACTGTGCAAGAATCGTACGAAGAGTGCAACACTGCGCAGGGGATGACATCCGTGTACTCTGTCAATTTTGCAGTCGTCTCCAGAGCCTTAGGCGTTGGTCGATGTCGTTTCACCAGCGCCATGATTTGACTGACATCTACAGGGAATCCGCGCACACGTGCTCGGTTAAGCGCCAAGGCTTCAGTTGGAACCCTAGCAGTGTTGACCATGAATTTGAGGTACTCTGGTGGAATTGACTCTGGTTGCATCTATGGATGAGCATCCACGAAAGCCATGTCAGAAAAATTATCCGGTTGACCACAAGGGGTTGTCGCGTAACCAAAAAATAAAATAAAATCGGTCCATGTTACACAAAGTCTCCATCGGTGCTCCGAGAAGGGACACTAAAAACAAAAAACTTACAGTGTAGGCGTACATGACCTGGCCGCAGGCGAGCGCAAAGAGGACAGCATCACCATGACGGAACCGGAACACCCCGCGATGTTTTCCAGCATTATAAACTCCTTGTCCCGCGCTGCAGAACGCACACAATTGGGAACAAAATGCAGCGCATTATCGATTAGTCAGCGCAAATTCCATCTGTCTTCAAATGCACGCTCATGATGCATTGACCAGTCAACTCAAAGTCCGTGTGTCCATCAAACATACCGAATAAGCATCTGTTGAGCAAAGGTAACCCTGCGTTCATGGCTCTCAATCAAGATAGCAAGACCGGCAATTGCACCTAAAACACAAAGGAAACATGAGTCGAGAGGTTCAGGGATGCATTATACGAAACCGTACCCCCAGAAGAAGCGTCCGCCAATGGGCTTCCAATTGGATATCCGTTGTACCTGCAACGGCGCCGTTGATACGATCGTCCTTGCCTCGGTAGAGTCTCAGTCCATTGTTGACAAATTTCCATAGGAATGAAAATGCACCAAAGAACGATCCAAAGCGCAGTGCATCCGCGCCAAAGAAAGAATCCTTGAAGATCTGACCAAACGATCCTCTACGAAGATATGAAACACGTCGACAGAAAGAAAAAAAAAGAAAAAAAAAAGCGCAAGGATCAGTAATTGAGTAATTGATCTCGGAATTTTCGTGTTCTTGGTTGTGGAAATTCAGATCTCGCATCCAGGACGATCAAACGGAGGTGCTTTGGTATTGCAATACATACTTTCCCTTCATGACCTTGAGCATGCCCAAACAAAGATTCACCATGGCCTTCAAGCCGTAACTGACTCCGAAGGAGCCTATCTCATGAAGAAGAGTGATCTATTGGTAAGAACGAAGCGTAAAAAATATATGGCTCGCGATGCTCCTTGAAGGTTTCGTTCAAAGGCCAATGGGCCTCAGAGGATTTGTAAATAAAAAGCACCGGTCCACTTACGGATCGCGCCGAGGATGGCATGCTTAAGGACACCCTCGTAAGTGTTGCAAGGTGCAGAGAGATGAGGGATCGAGACTCCAGTCTTGTAGTTCTTGCTCTTCTCCGCGGCATCCTTTCCCTCCTGAGTGCGGAATCCTCGAGGTCTCTTGCCATTGGGCCACTCGTGCTTGTGACTGAAGGAACGGCTACGATCCTTCAGGGCTGATGCGCCCTTGGATTTGGACGAGGAAGAAGCAGTGGATTTGGTCGCAGGAAGTGAGGATTTGGTCATGATGGGGCTATCGACATCCGAGGCGCTGTAGGTGGACGAGGCGAGGGACGGGGAGGCGTCGTCGATGGAGACATAGGAGGAAGATGTGGACATGGTCACGGACTGCTGGTGGAGGTGGCTGCTGCTGACGATCGAGGCGTAGGAGGCGTCTATGTCGGTGGAGGATGGCTGTGTAGACCCGCTCTGGTCGTGGTGGTGGGTCATAAAGAAATAAAGGAAGGAAACGAGGGAGAAAGAGAAAGAGAGGGAGAGAGGGAGAGGGAGAGAGAGAGAGAGAGAAGGGAAGAGAGGGAGAAGGCGGGGCTTTCTATTAGTTTTATGACCCTTTCCCAAGAAAACGAAGCCGGGTCTTGGCGATGGAGGGAGTGGATGGAGGGAAGAGGTGAAGGAGGGAGGAATGAGAGACGATGCCGAACCGAATGTGAATGAGAGAAAGGAACAACCTTAATTGGTGGCAAAAATGTGCCGACTTACGGGCAGTGAACACACTCCCGCCCCGATCCATATGTTAGCGACAGTGGACTCTCTGCCTGACTGACTGCCTGCCTGGTTGTCTGCCTGCCTGCCAATTCACTTTAGCCTGTCACCGCTGTCGTTGTGGAGGAAAACGCCCTGCAGCGAAATGCACCTGTACTCTGTTCATTTGAAGTAACAAACCCCGCCTTCCTCCCAGCCATGTCCGCTCGTGCGCTTTAAGGTGGTCGATGCGCACTTTATCCATTACTGGGCAACGTTATTGCCAAGGCGTCCTCCGCTCATTACGCGTGTTCGCCTTGTGAAATCATCTTCTCCTGCTTGTCTGTACCATGCACCATGGAGCACTCAACCAACTTTGCTGGTCCTATTCCGCCTTTGCGCTTGCCCTGTGTGGAGAAATCCAAACCTTATTTCTAATTCTTAATCCCATATCCCCAACAAATTCACCAGAATCATTCAAACATGTGTTTGCGAGAGTCCTGCTCTGTGAACGGACCCGGTCGACGTTTTCAATTGCACATGGATCAACGGATTCCTGTTGCTCTTTCCCGGACCAAACTGGTTTCATTTTTATTGCAATTGCAATGACGCCGGATCTAGCTGCAGGCACTCTTGGCAGGGGGGCGTCTTCACGCCCTCACGTAACGTACACATACCGATCCAGACTGTTCTCTGCCCGTTCAATGTACTGCTTGTCCAAGAGCTGCTCAATGCACTTCTTGATCATCGGAACATTGGGCGAGAACCGGGTCTTGCACTGCTCAATCACCTCTTGCACAAGCTGCATATGCGATAAAACCCGTCGAGATTTCATAATTCGCACAATCGACGCTTGGATACACAGCCGGCGATCTTCATCCACTGCCTTCAGCGTTGCCGTCGTCTCCTGAGGCGTATCTGCCTGGAGTCCACCGCTGATCTTGAGTTTGGTCCGCTTATTGGAAAAGGCCATGTTCAACTTGAGCACTGTCGACAGTGTCACATTCGACCCGCCGTCCTCCAGAATCAACAGGTTGGCATCCACAAGCGACTTGACCACCCGGATCAGCTCGAATTCAATTAGCTTCGTCTGGTCTCTAATCTCGGATACTTTATACGAGTCGCCAGAATTGAAGACTGCCAACACAGCAAACTGATAGAGCGACAAGGACAGCTCATAGCGCTTGTCAAGATAGTTCACACGTACATCGGCTTGAATTCATTGGAGTAGTTGAGTAATAAGGAATGGTTTAGTTTTCTCCCTTGTCGTTCCAATCTTCACAACAAATGTAAATGTCCATAGTTCTTTGGCATTACCTCTGCACCAGTGCCAGAACCAGCTCAGTTTACGTCCGCTGTGTCGATTGTCGTAATAGGTTGTGAAATTGGTTATGCTTTTCTGTAGTTCATCTGGACACTGGAACTCCAATGGCTGCGTCGAGTTCACGGGCCACGATCCTGCTGTAAGCACCAGAATACTAAAGTCCACTAGATTCGTTCAAAGAAAAAGAAAAAAGAATGCAGATGCGCATTAATTAATAAACTGAAAATTCAGTGAAACTGTGCTACAATGATCTCGATCACAGGTCTGCGCATACCTCCATTGCTGAGATCGTTGCCCTGCAGCCATTCTTTGAACCCGGCATTCAAATCCGAGCTGATAGTCATGTCTGTAAACATCCTCTGCAGCTTTGACGTGTATTCGTGTCCGCAAGCGCTCTATGAGAATGCAAAAGGATACAGCGCGCTGTTAGCAAGTATGAATCACAAATTCAATCTATTCCTCATAAGTGTTCCCCTCGTACCTTAAGACGAGAGATCATGTTGGCCTCTGACTCCGCAGACAGTGAGGCATCAAAAATTAATCGCTTCGCTAGCACACGAGAGTAGAACTTCTGGAACAGGTCCTTATCGTCAATGTACTTGAATAAGATGACCTACAACGCAGCAGTACCAAAGAAGTTAGCTGCCAACCCAACAGTCCACAAAACTGGTAAAAGCACATAAAGAGCAAAGACATACGACTCTCGTCAGGCGATCCTCGATCTCAGATTCTGAGAGTCCTGTCTTTTGCTTCTTCCTCAGCATAGTGTCGGTATAACGCGCCATAACCTCCGGAGATCGTGCTGCTGCATTCGTCGCCGTGTCGTTAACAACTGTCCTGAACGCCTTGTCCACAGCAGCAACGAATGCAGCGTCATTCGTAAACACCCTCGCACACATTTGCATGTATTTCAAATGTAACTCGATCAATCTCTCCACATATTCTCGCGGATCCTAAACAATAGGTCGAAAAAAAAGGTTCTTAGATGCCATTTTCGTGCCGTCAAATGACAATATTCTGCCAAGGCAATCGTTGGCATACCTTGGCAATACTGGCACCCAAACCTAAAATGATATCGCGTCCGACCGTTGTAATATACTTTTCAAATGTGGCCAACAGCGGCGTGATACCGTCCTCTATCCTAGACAGCAATGAATAGGCCATTGTACAATCTAAGGCGCCAGCAGAAAAGTGGGAGCCATCAACATGCCGTCGCCACACAAATATCTATATAAAAACGGTTGTGCATATGTGTAAAGTATGTCAAGACATACCTTCCATCCGTTCGCTTGCAATCATTCTCTCAAACTCTGTCTGAATGCTCTTCCGATGTTCGGAAATGTACTGCGCCTCACATTCTTGGATGATCTATTGAAGTACCGAAATTAATCTGTTAGTATTCACTAGATACAGGGCCCATCTATTTCTAAAAAAAAACGCGCTGGTGACAAAGACATTGGATCATACCCGTGCGTGAGACGTCGGATGACAATAACGTGTATTACGGATACCTTCCTGAGCAAGTCTGTCGATTGCAGATCTCATGTATTGTGATATGGTACAGCTGGACAGTTTGATGTTGCTCTCGGCTTTGTAGTACGCTTTCGTCTGGGCAATGTATGGCGTTTCGAATTCTTCGATGTAGAGCTCCAAGGGCTGATCTGTCTTTGCGTTCAATGACACTATGGGATAACGAGCACAAGTGGAGTGAGTGATATTGGTGTGGGGCGAGGTTTCCGGCTGATCAAAAAAAGGTCATGTATCACGCGCATCCTTACCGAGGGAGAGAACGGCATCATGGACGACTGACGAGTTGACTTGTTTGCCTTCCCGGTCCTGGCGGATCGTTTCAAAAATCTGGTACATCAACCTGTTCTGCTTGCGATGCTTGATTTCCATGACAACATGCTCCCTCCAAACCTGGTTCGCAAGCTACGGCCGTAAGGAACATAGGAACAGACAAGAATTAGATTTCGCCGTTGCATACCCTGCTCCAACAAAGACCAGCAAATAAGCAGTCCAGGAGCGGCCAAGTGGTCGTGCAGGTGCAGTATGGATGCGTCCATGTCATTAGTAAGGTTGCCTTACCGCCTGCACATCTTGACGAGGGTATCTGCTCTGTCCAACAAATGGTCGCTTCTCGCTGATGCCGGGTCCCTTGCGCTGCTTGACGATCAATCCATTGAGGTATTCACATATGGCATTCAAGTAGTTCGTCGCGACAGAGTATTTTCTCCAGTACATGGCGTAGATAGGCACGACCTCATCTTGAACCAGAATAGCCTAAGAAAAACCAACACGATACGCTTTAGCTCCTGCATGTTTCTGGTTGGCAGTGATCGATCTAGTCAAGGTGCGACATTGGGACCTACCTGTCGGACTCCTATGGCATATTCGCATAAAAAGTCGGCGATGGCACAATAGAGCCGTTCGTAAAACGGCTTAGGCACAGAGTTGCAGATATCGTACACGAGCCTAGATCGGTTTGGACAGCATTTTGAAGGATAGGTCAGTGTCAGTTGGCATTTTTCCGCAGTCGGTAAGTACTGTGTGCTTGAGAAGAGCTCCCGCTTGGCGTCAAACACGTACTGGTACATGCCCATGCCAGAAACCGTGCCCGTTCCTGAAAAGTCAAACATCTTTACTAGATCGCGCTTGAACTCTTCGAATGCGACATCGAAGTCAATCCTTTTCCTTCGAAGCGACATGGCTAATGTGAAGAGCGTTTGTGAATAAATGAGAGGTGGGTTCTGAAAGAGAAGAATGCATGTCCCATTCTGCGTCTGCATGCGTTGTCCTATGTCAAGTCACTCTCACGTGATATATGATCTCGTTTCGAACCTAGCAGAGGTCGCTCCGCAAACATTTTCATTAACGACATGCGAATCTGCTTGGATGCGTATACTATCATTGGATTCCAACATGAAGGGTATGGTATGCATGAAGCAAGGCATATCACCGAACTGCTTGATGCTTATTCCATGCAGCTGCACCATGCGGAATCTTTCCCTTGCTTTGACTATATCCGGCAGACCAGGACTGCGCGCCAAGGAGTGATCATGGAAGGGAAAAACCTATTCGGGACGCTACAAAATACCAAGTAACTTAAATCTATTATCCGAGAGCATAATATCATGCAGCACAACATCCATCGATCTACACTATATTTGTTCATCTGAAGCTGGGTGGTTTAAAGTTTGGACTGTTGGAGTTTTGGGTATCCTGAAATGGAAAGAGCGCACAGCCACCGCGCTCATCACGCATGAAGATGAAATTGATTTATACAATGGATGGAAACAGGCATAGCATACATAGATATCATCCTTGAGGTGACGGGAAAAAAAGTTGATCGAAGCGGAGTCATGAGTAGGGCAAGATGTAGTAGATGGATGGACTGATAGATGAATATAGCCAAGCATGGAAATCTGCCTTTGATGGGAGGGTGGACGTGGGAGGGTTGTTATTGGGTGTTCGGCAGGCAGAACCCCAGACCCAGGGTGATGATGCAGACTCAGGCACCCTTCCCATTACACACGCGGGGATTGCAGATTAATAAAGACAGATCAAGCAAACGAGGCTTTAATGGAGAACGTTTTCATGCTGTAGAGTTAATGGTATGAGGGAGTAAGGAAGAGGAGAATGCTCTTCCTAGGAGTGTCATCAGAGTAATGTCAGAGCAGGCACTGGACAGGAGGAGAGGGTCCGGCAGCACCTTGGAGAGGAACTGGAGATGGATGGCATCATAGCATTGCTGCTGGATCCGATAAGCGAAGGAGAGGGAGGGAGGGAGGTGAGGGTGTTGCCTGTTTCCCGAGATGGATGGAAGAGGGAATATGCATGTTTTTGCGTAGGTAAGCACTGCGACCCGCATGTACTTGTGCTGATACAAATACAACATATACATATACATACTCAATACGTAAACGAATGGATCAATGGATGAGGGAATAGCACCTCCGGACTGGACGCAGTCCACACAATCCCCTTTTAGTTTTTCCCTTCCTCCTGCAGTTTTTGTGGTCACCGTCAGCTTTCTTATTTGCTCGCTTCCTTCCTTCCCTCCACTCCTCATTGCCTCATTCGCTCAATCTCATTCGCCCATTCTCATTCCTCCTCCTCCTTTGTTGTTCATTTGCTGCAGCAACAACTTACATTTATTCTTCATTCATTCCACCCGTCCTCATTCAGACACGCGTCCGTGTCCTCTGTCTGTCCCTCTATCCTCGCTTCGAACCGTCTAGTCCTTCAGACGTTATTACCTCGTCTCGCACAACAAGACTTACGACCGCTGCTGCAGGCGTTGTTGCTGCTGCTGCTGCTCTGCATGGATATTCTAGAAGGACCAGTGCTGTTGGCCTGCTCTGTCGTCACTGGTCTTTACTCAGTCTGGCAGCAAAAGTGTCAGCAAGGTATGTAGCCGTCTCGTCCTTCCCAATCCGTAGCTGCCATGTTCGATCAAGATTGAACTGGCTACGCTCGCTTTCGGCTCCCCTTCTTTCTTCTTCATTCTTTTGAATCCCTTTTACGCTTGATGCAAAGGCAGACCAAGCGTGAAACAGGCTGTGGAAGTAGCAACCCTTGGATCCATTATGGATTCGACCCTGACAGATGGTTACCGTCTTCTGGGCCCATCTCCACCCCCTGAACAGGATTGTTCCATGCATCCCTGCTTCTCTATTTATTGCTTGTTTGTTTGTTTGTTTGTTTGGTTAGTTGGTTGGTTGGTTGTCTGCCTGTTTGGAATCTAACCATCATCCGCTACGCTCTTTTCTGTGCGTCTGTGGTGTATTTTTCGTAGGACGAATTCGTCTAACTGATCGGAGACCATGGCGTGAGCAGTCGCAAAATGCAATCCCCTGGGCAGTACATCTTCTACTGGTCACAATAGGCCTTGGTCTCTTGACTTCCGTCTCGGCCTTGGTGGCAATCGTCATCTTGTTGATCAAGCAACGCGATGGTAGGTGCGGGATACGCTTTGTTTCTCCCTTTTTCTCGGACGGGAATAAAATATGTACTCCAGAATCTCCGTGTTCCATCCAAAGAAAAAGGTTGCATGGCATAGTGCTGCATCTGATATTGACACGAATGCAAGAGAGCAATGCGTGGCACAAACCAATGACGTTATACTGCAGCAACCCGTATTAAAAGTTTAAATCGATGCATCCACGACTCTTTTCTTTCCCTTAGATCACTCGCCGTATAATCACGAATTGGGCTGGATCCTAATCTCTTCGGCTTGTAGCTGCCTCGCCTGGGCTGTACAGACATGGCTTGCGTTTCAGGAACGACATCGGTCGCGGTTCTCGAACCCATTACGCCTGTTTTGGATTTGCGCCCTCGTCCTATCCACCATCTCCTTCTTTCTCTGGGTTCGTGGTGATCATGACTCGAATTTCCACCGGAGCAGGTCTCTCGAAACCATTGCGGGAACCGCCAACATCGCACGGTTTATCCAGAGTATTGTTCTCGTTATATTGGGCGCGACCCAGGAGTATCAGGCCCGGTCTTCGCAGTCTCTTGCTCAGGACACCTACGATGCTGTACCGGCATCTTTACACCCTAGTCATGCAACGCTTGTTCACGAGAGCACAGACGAACAAGGAACTGCTAAAGACAAGAAGAGCAAAAAAAAAAAGGGTGGGATGTCAGCGACATCGGCTCAGAAGGACTACAAGCGGCCAACGACATTCAAGGAGTTTTATGGGCATTGCAAGCACCTACGTCCTTTCATCTGGCCATCCAACTCGCGAAAACTTCAGACCCATATCATGCTTTGCCTGTGCCTGCTAGTGGTTGGCCGAATTGTGAATGTGCTGGTACCTCAGCATGTGGCGAATGTTATCGATGCCCTGACAAAGGTGGAAAATGGAAGTCCTGGGGGTACGGACGAGAACGGCAACCCGCGATTTGTCTGGAAGGAAATTATGATCTTCATCACACTCAGGACACTACAGGGTAGCATCGGTGCTGTCGATACCCTTCAAGCACTGCTGTGGATCCCTGTTGGACAATTCAACACACGTGAACTGGCGGTCAAAATGTTTGAACACTTGCTTGACCTTTCTCTCCGATTCCATCTCAACCGCAAGACAGGCGAGATGCTTCGCGTTCAAGGTAACGAGAGGCCATTGGTAATTCCCAACGAGCTCTGGGAACTTCAAAAAATAGGGCACTAACAGTAACAATCGCCTCGCTACATGCGATATAGACCGCGGTGTTTCGTCGATTGTAACCCTGCTCTCTTCTCTGCTGTTCAACATCCTGCCATGCTTGGTCGACATTGCAATTGCTTGCTATATTCTCACCCGTGAATTCGACATTTACTTTGGGATCATCGTCGCCATCACTATGGTCTGCTATATCTATGCTACCATTCTCATGACGGATTGGAGAACTCGCTATCGCCGTGAATCGAACGCCCTGGACAATGCGGTAGAGGCGCGCGCAGTCGACTCCTTGTTGAATTACGAGACGATCAAATTGTTTGCAACAGAGGAGTACGAAGTCGGTAAATATACCGAAGCCATCACCGCATACCAGCAGGCTGATCGGAAATCGCAGTATACCCTCGCTATCCTCAACACCACACTCAACATCGTGATCCAGGGAGGCCTGGCACTTGGATGCTTGCTCTGCGCCAAGAGGGTATCCCAAAAGGAGATGGGGGTTAAAGGGTTTGTCATGTACTATACCTACATCCTCCAGCTCTATGGCCCCTTGAATCTCTTTGGCACATCATATCGATCGCTACAGGTACAGTTATGTCCCAAGAGTTATGTAGTCGTGAGGCTCCTGAAGTTATTTGACTGACCTCATTCGTGTTTGCCATCACATTAGAAAAACTTTATTGATATGGAAAAGATGCTGGATCTATTCAAGGAGCCAGTGGAGATACAGGATCAGCCTGAGGCAAAGCAGCTTGTGATGACTGGCGGAGAAGTCGTGTTTGGTATGTAAAAACACGTTTTTATCTTTTCATTCCTGATTTGCCACCAAAACATTTTGCTGCGCACAGACATTTGACCCTGAACATAAACTCTATTTTGTGCTCCACACAGAAAACGTCTCATTTGGATATAGCCCACAGAACCCGAATCTAAAGTCAGTCTCCTTTAGGATTCCACCGGGCAAGAAGCTAGCCCTGGTGGGGCCTTCTGGAGGTGGCAAATCAACGATTCTGCGCCTGCTTTTCCGATTCTACGATCCAACCCGGGGCAGGATCCTGATTGATGGCCATGATATCAAGACGGTGACGCAGACCAGTTTAAGGAGAAAGATCGGAATCGTGCCGCAGGACACAGCCCTGTTCAACGAGAGCATCGGGTACAACATTGGCTACGGCAAAATCGGTCAAGACCGTACCCAGATCTTTGATCCCACGCGGTTGGCAGCTCCGAGACGACGCATCTCCTCCGCAGGCAGCTCAGACAATAATAGTGGTGTCAACGGCGGCGAACCGACACGTCGGCTTTCAATGAGCGGAAGATCATCTAAATCAGCAGCAAGGGGGCGGAAACACAAAGGTGGGACCCCTTTGACATCTACGGAAACTGCTAGAATCACAGAGGGCGATGAAGATGCGGACGTCGAGGGCGAAGATGCAGATTATTCTGAGGACGAGGACTGGGAAGATGACGGCCGAATCCAGGCAGCGGCCGAGGCTGCACGGATACACGAGATCATCAGTCGGTTCTCTGAGGGCTATGCGACGCGTGTTGGAGAGCGCGGCATGCGTTTATCTGGAGGCGAGAAGCAGAGGGTGGCGATCGCAAGGACTATCCTGAAAAATCCGCCGATCCTCCTTCTGGATGAGGCAACCAGTGCTCTGGACACGCAGACGGAGCGCGAGATCCAGAACTCGATTGAATCCATCTCGAAGGACAGGACGACACTTATGATCGCTCATCGATTGTCGACCATTGTGGATGCGGACGAAATTCTGGTGATCCAGAAGGGCGAGATTGCAGAGCAGGGCAGCCATGAACAACTCATGCAGGCAGGGGGAATCTATGCTGCGATGTGGATGCAACAGCTACGGGAGGATCGAACGCCGGCACCCAGTAGTCATTCTAGCCAAAAGGAGTCGTCCAAGGGAGAGGAGACCGACGACATGGACTCGTCAGATGAGAATGCTCAGCTTGGACGTCTTCGGATTCGAAGGAGCCACAACGTGCGGTATCCGAATTGCCAGCAGAGCATTGGACACCATGGAGACAAGAAAACGATGTCGTTTTCGCTGCCGACCTATGCGACGGGTTATGGCGGATCCGGTTCGTCTGGTGGCGGTGCAGGTTCTGGATCTGGGATCGGGTCAGGAATTGGATCGAGGTATGGTCATTTGCAGAGCAGCAACTTTGATGGATCCGCAGCGAGGGGTGTGTCTTTACTACCAGAACCAGGGACGATCCAGGAGCTGTCGGATGAATACCTGTATGACGAGGACGATATGCCCGATGTGCCTTTAGAGCCCAGGCCTCCCGCCTGACAAAACTAGGCAGTGATGACTGAACCATCACTCAGTCTTTATGACTCTTTCGTGAACAAGAACAAAAGGGAACCAAACACAGACCAACACGCTACTTTGTTAACATTCTCTGGCAAGCATATTCATTCGTATGTGCCATTTGTCCTGATATGATCTAATCTAGTCAAATTTCCAGCACCAGCTTTCTGTGTTGCGGAACGCAGAATTGCTCTCATCGATTAAACTTCCCACGGGCATGTTCATAATTCAACCCTCTGTGTGTAATTTGTATGCAAATGAGTCAAAAAAAAAAGGCGCGCGCATGAACATTGGTGTTTCCCTTTGGGTTTATTGTTTCCGTTGGTGAACTATGACCTTGAGTTGCTCCAAAACAATAAAGGTGACGATGGTGTGAGGGCCCAGACGCAAGAAGGCCGGGAGCCAGCCCTTGAACAAGGCCATAGGCCCTTCCGTTTTTACGATATGGAAAAACATTTGTGTGGATGAAGTCTAGATCGTGAATAGAAAAAAAAAAAGAACCATCCTTGTCAGCGACTTTTACAAAAAAAAACGACGGAGGGGGCGGAGAACAGTCAGCAACCTTATGCGCCTTACATTGCTACCTGAAGAGTTCATGATTCTTGTCTTGAGCACATCCAAGGGTGCACACACGGTCGTTGCCACCAGTCCCTAAGAAGTACAAGCGTGGAGAGAATAAAAAAGCATGGTATTAAAAAAAACGGAACTTTGGGAAAGGATAGGACGCTCAACAAAATGTCCATATGTTTGAGCTGCAGCTACGAAGCTACTGTCATAAAAAGCAATACTGCGAATACAGAATGGAAATGTGCAAAAGTATGCCCAGGTTTACACTGCTTCGCCTTAACAGTTACAGCCTTATCAACAAAAAAAGAGAGAGAGAGATAGATCGACAAGACTTACGGCTAGGAGCGAGGACGCGAAATGCGTGGCCAAGTTGTCCTTGAACCAAGGCGTCGCCAACAACTGTCGCTTGAACCCATCGTACGAGACCAACTGTGAGCTCGTCATCAAGATCGCTCGGTTCATGTTTGGCCCCAGTCCTCTCATCAGCTGTGCGGGGCCTTCTTCCTTCACGATCCTGTAGAGTCCATCAAACGCATGCTTGTAATGTCTCTGCTGCTCCTTTGGCAGTTTGCCGTCGTTCACCATCCGAATATTGACCACATCCGCGGGGTTACCGAATCCGCCGCCGACACATCCTGCCAGGACACCACACAGCATCATCGTGCTGACAGGGATCCTGCCTAGTGTTACAAGTACCAGTGCGGAAAGAGAAGCGGGCGGGGCGCAGAGAGAGAGAAAAAGAGAAAGAGAGGAGAGGCGGGGAAGACGAGGGGGGGGGGAGGGTATTTGGTTTAGTCTCAGCTATTTTTTCGACATTCCACAACTCCGATGTCACTCTGGGCGCAAAGCAATACAGGCCCCCCCCTCCCAGGAACGAAACATAAAATATGTTGTAAAGACACATACTGCCATCCTTGGGTCCAAACTTCTCCTTCAAGTAGTCGTAGGTCCCGAATCGTACGGTCGAATAAGTGCCCTGGCGTAACAGACTGGCGGAAAGACCATTGTAGAGCGCAAGGATCCCTTCGTTCCGGGCCACGTTGATCATGGTCCGGATCATTCCATGCGAGCTGGCACCCTGCGTTGTTTGGAGACGGACCTTTGCCAGATCGAACGGATGAGAGACCAAAGCCGCTGCACATGAAGCCGCACCTTGCAAAGGAAAAAGAAGTAGACAAAAGAATGGTGAGAATACCGTCCAATCAAGTCTTTTCAGCTGGGAGAGAGATCCATTGGAAAGGAAATGGCCTTGCTGCTGCTGTTGTTGTTGTTGTTGTGATATTAATGCCCCGGATTGGTTCCCATGCCACTCCTTGCCCCGGTTGGATGCTGCTGTCGGTATCCTGTGGTATGTGCCATGCGGGCTATTTACCTCCGAGCCAAAAGGGATCCCTTGCCTTGGTGGTGGGGGTCTGTTGTACTGTCTGGAGGTGTACTTGAGCCGGTGCGGTTGCCATGGTGTTGCTGTTGTATTAGGTGTTAAATAGAGGTAGTCTATATGAACTGAATGACTCAAAAAGGCCGGGTAATTCCTTCTCTTCTGCTAAACGAGAGAAATGAAAGAATGACTGCAAAGGAAAAAAAAGAAAAAAAAGAGGAATGAGCAGAGTGGAGGACGAGGTGAATGAGAGACGGGATCAAGAGAGGAAGAGGGGAGGAAGAGGAAGAAGAAAGAAAGAAAAAGCCCTTTTTATTGTTCACTTTGCTTCAGCGACAGGCAATTTGTTATTTTAAGGGCAGCCGTCGCTCTTCGAACGGCGGTCCCTGGATGCAAAAGACTTCTTCTTCTTCATCATCTTCTTCTTCTTCTTCTGCAACTGCAGCTGCAGATGCACCGTCGGCCCTGATACATGGTCACTCTTCGTCCTTGAAGGATGACAGAAATGTTGCCAATATCCACTTGTGCCGATGACGGGGACAAGTCCACCAAAAGGATGCCCGGATACACATTTTGCCACCTCTCTTTAAAAAAAAAAAAACGTCTAGTTTACTAGTCTTTTTTACTTTTTTTTTTTTTTACGGGTGGCAAGTTGTGGAGAAAAAGCAAACAACAGCAACGTGCCATGGCCCTGAAAACGGATTCAACTGACGAGCCTTTGTGAGCAATTGACGAAGATAGAGCGCGAAAAAAAAATATATCAACCTTGATCGTCTTCGTGGTGCCACAGAGCATGGAGACGGGCAACTTTTTTTTATATTTTTACCCCTCTTCACACATGGCTCCTGCGAAAAAA